GAGAGGCAGGATCATAGTCAACAAGCTGGAGAGGAGAGTGTGGAACCTTGAGGTCCAAGACCGGCAAGGCCAATCGGGACTGAGATTGAGAGAGCAAACGCCATGAGACAGATGAGATGGATCACTGAGATGGAGACTGGGAGTGTCTAGGAGATCCTAGAGGTGTTTTAGGCAGAGGTCTTCACTGGGGAGGCTGAGGCTGTAGTGAGATTGTGGGATCAATGTGCGGTCTGGAGTGGAAGCTCGGTGAATTTGAGTTTGAGTTGTGACCCAAATCAGAGGAAGTGGTGAAGGCGGCCTACTTTCTCGGTGAAAAAGGAGAGGTGTCTTGGGCAGCTCCGGCTCGACGTGAGCACTGGCTGAGGTGGAGGCCTGCGTGGCCAGCCCCGAAAGAGAGGACTTAGTCTTGGAGACCTTGTCACCCCAGGAAGCAGTCGAAGCTTGTGGCAAGGAAGATCAAGCATGATGGAGAGCCTTTGACGAGGATTTATCCTGCTTGGAGGAAGACTCCTTATCAGTCAAGTGCTTCCTTTTGGAGGCCTTCTTGGCCTTCAGGTCATCAGGAAAGCGGTCCCCACTAGACCTAGATCTTCTAGTGTGGGAGGATTTTTCGTGGGATCTTCCCCACTCCTTAGTCATCCCAGTCCCTAAAGTGGAAGGCTGAGGGTCAGCAGAAGAAGTAGAGGCCACGGGGATGGGCTGAAGCCTCAAGGCATGCTCATAAAGGGCAGCGTTAAGTCTCTTGTCCCTATTTCTAAGGGCTTGGAAGGTCATAGACCTGCAAAGGGCACAGGATTGAACATTGTGCCTTCACCCAGACAGAGGAGACAAGAGCACGGGTTGGAACCAGGATCTTACCAACACACTTTTCACACTGCTTGAAGGAGTGTGAAGACATTTTCAACTGGAGTTGAAGCCTATTCAGAATCGAAAATCAAGGTCAAATTCAGTCCGAGGTTGAGCAATTCACAAACAGAGTCCACTCCAAATTCCAAAGAGCAGTCAAAGTCAAGCCAGAAGTCAAATCCGAAAACAGCAAAGTGGAGAAAAATGAGCGATACTGAGCAGTGAAGTTCCTTCCTAGCAGCTAATGTGGTGGATGAAAGGAACTGGGGAAAGAGTGGGAAGGCGCCAGGCTTATATGGAGGGGGTGGAGCTACCACCAAAAAGTTGCAAATGGAGTTTTGCCTAGTCATACCAGAAGTTTCCAAGCTTTGCTGCGCATGTGCAGAATAACCCATTTGTGTGACTCGCAGAGACCACGAAGAAGATAGATTCTTGACTTCTCCTGACCTACCCTCTACTCCCCTGAATCCCTGCTTCTCTGAGACACTCACCCCTCCAGTGACAGGAACAGGTCCAGCAGGTACCCCGGGCATGATCATTCCGGGAAGCATGGGTGGCACCATATTAGGCATCTAGAATAAAAGAGAAGGTCATGTGCATTATAGAAGTGATGGGCCAGAAAGGCAAATACAGATATTGTACTGTGAATGGGAATTACCTGTCCCAAGGGTGGTGGTCCAGGCATGGGTGGGATCAGCGGGGGAGGCGGCATCATACCTGGGGGCATGGGTGGCATAGGGGGTGGGCGTGGTCCCATTGGGGGCAATCCCATTGGGGGAAAGGGTGGCGGGATCCCAGGAGGAGGCATCTAGAAGCAAAGAGTAAGACACAAAGATCATTTTCCTGTCATAGGTATCCAAAGCAGATGCCATTTAGCAGAACATATCCTGAACATCTCTAAGTAAAAACAAATTAGATCACACAGTAAGAAGGAATTACTTTCACAGGGTAACCCTCAAAACACAACAGTATCACACATACACACATTCTATCTTTGCATGTATGCACATACACAAATCCTACAAAATTCTACCACAGACATGAGTAACTGGTACCTGAAATTCTGATAATGGTCCCTAGTCCATGTTTTAGATTGTGACCCCAATAAAGACTGTGACCCCAGACTGTGACCCCAATAAGGAAAAAAACGCAGAAGCATAGCAATGTTCTGAACTTTTCCAACATTTGTTATGACGTTTAAGATTTTGAAGACATCTCCTTGCCCATCTCCCCTAGAATACACCTTTCCAAGAGAACACTGTACTTCCAATTGGTAGTGAGCAACACAAAAACAAAGGGTCTTGGAGATGTTTGGCTGATACTTAAAATGTGTGAATGATCTGAATGTGGAGATATTCCCCAGGAGAGAGCAGCTAGAGCACTGCCTTGATTCATATTATCAGAATAGGGCAACTGAAAAGGGGGAGACCCCTCTGTGGGCCACAGTGACACCCCCAGTTTTTGGGGATAGTGAGGGGTAAGTGGACCAAAGTCAACACATTTTTGTAGCACTTTGTTTGCATGAGGGTAATACTTTGGCTGGAAAATTGGATAAATCTTTTTCCAATTTTTGGGGAGGGGCCGGGGAGGAGGCGGCAAAACAGGGACCAAAAGGCTTTGTGTAGCACACAGGCCATACATTTCCCACCTGCTACAAAGTTAGCTTGGTTTAATACTTTAACTATCATAGATTCCCACTATGAATAAAAAGATTATACTAAATGGAGTTATTTTACTATCTCAGTTGCCTCTCCTTGTGCTGAATTTTAGATTGTAGGCTCCTCAGGCACAGAGGCCTCTGTTCTAATTAAACTATTTCATGCACGCTTTATGTTAATGGTGTAATCATCACTACTGTCACCCTCTTGCTGCTATTTGCAATGTGTAGGCAAAGTGCAACCTGTGGGCTGTGACCCCTCCAGGCCATTCAAGGATTTTTATGCCCCCTCAATTTGTGAGTAGGGTGCATGGGCTAACATTGGAGTTTATCACATGGAGGCAAAGTCTCCAAATCCCATGCAGAAATGGGATTTAAAAGCCCGGAAAAAACCCGCAAAAGCAGTTTGATTTTCAGACGACAAGTAATAATGCAACATTAACCCGGACAGAAAGGTAACAAAACACACTTCTTTTAACTTTCGGAAAAAAATGAAAGTAAAAAAGAAGCACGTTTTGTCACCTTTCTGTCCAGGTTAATGTTGTGTTATTGCTCATTAACCCCAACATTATCTGAAAATCAACCTGCTTTTATGTTTTTTTTCCACTTTCTGTATGGATTAATCTCAGATGTTGTCTGAAAAACAATCCGCTTTTGTGGATTTTTTTTCAGTTTAAATCCAATTTTTCCATGGGATCCTGCCCATGTGATAAACTCCAATGGGGTATGTGGCTCTTCAGTGTTCCACTGCAAGTCTCCCAAAACCCAGGCAGTTGACCATACTGTAGATCCAAACATGTAATTTCCCTTGTGTCCTTTCCACATATACTCAAAATCCTAAACATATCCTGAGGCTCTATTTCAACCACATAACATTCTCATTCATGCACACACCTGTTGAAATGCAAACTGGACAGCAATTGACTTACGAAGGGAGGAGGCAGAATTGGTGGAGGTGGTGGGGCTGGGGGAAATGGGGCCGGCTGCCCAGGAAGAGGGCCACTGCCTGAATCTGGAGCTGACTGCAAAAGAAAGAGAGAAAGTAAATGGAGCTCCCCATACCTGGTCCCTGACTCTTATAGCAGAGCTGCACATCTGTAGCCCTCCACATGATTTCAGACTGCAACTCTCATCAGCCCTAGCCAGCATGGGAACTGCAGTGTAAAACAACACTGTCTTGATGGCCACAAGTTGCCCACCTCTGCCTTAAAACACATAGACACAAACACAAACACACTAGAGCAGAGGTGGGAATTATGTGCCAGTCAAATGTTCTTGGGCCTCCCAGTACCCCTCACCACTACCTATGCTGGTTGGGGCTGACAGGAATTGTAGTTCAACAACATCTGGAAAGCCACATCATTTCCACCCCTACATTAGAGGCCATCCCTTCATCTCGTACTAGTGAGAAATTCTTATGTTAAGGTGCATGAAATAGTGAAAACATGGGGTGACTCAACATACTAGTAGTGCAAGAAAGTTTCTTGCCTGTATCATTCGCCATTTTTATAAAGGCCATCATGTCCCTCCTTAGTCATCTCTTTCATAAATTATGAAAACCCAAATGCTTTAATAATTTTCTTTTGTACAGAAGGTGCTCCAACACAGAGATCATTTAAGTCACCTTCTCCTGTATGATGAATGGACGATTACCCTTGGGTAGCAACATACACTTGGGTAGAAACATAGGGAGAGATGAAAATATCATTCAGAGATTGCAGCAGATGGAGACAACTATGTGTGAAAAATTGTAAGGAATGGCTGTATGTGGAAATAAGTAATAAAGGTTAGCAATACATGGAGATTGCCTTGTTCTCTC